TCGCTCAGTAAGATGAAGACAGCCGAATGGTGGCCTAGCTTCATTGACATCCCCAGCCCAGGTCCCAGCGGAGACTAGTGAGACACAGATGGTGGGTTAAGTGGCATAAATGGACGTAATTCAGCAGTGGCGAGGTGACCACTTAGGCAGTCAGAAGGCTGATTCATTTGTTTATCTGGATGATTAGTTGAGTAGTTTTTAAGTGTTCTGTGGTTCAGGAAATTCTCCCTCACAGGCTCATCGAGTTCACATCCTTCCATGAGCCTGATATTTCCTTGAAAGAAGGAAAAGCCATGCTAAGCACAGGGTCAAGGCTTTGGTGGACCTTTACAATGACACACTTGCTGTGAGATAATGGTGATAAACAATGCATCATGAGCCCCCAGTGTTTAAGAGTTCAAAGAAACGTTCAACTGTGGTTGCTACCATCTTCCGAAAGAATCACAGAGCAAGACATGACTCAGGGCTTCCCAAGCAGCGTTTCCAAATTCCTCATTAACCTGTGATTGCAGAAATACAACAAAGACTTACAAAATACTTCACAGGAAGAAACTTTTTAGCACTCACCTAGATTTGAGCTTCTCTGATCAGTATTTCACAGAACTCCCTGCTACAAAATATGTGGACCACTGAAAAACTATTTCACAGATCAAATCATTTCAGGAGAGATTTTAGGTTAAAGGAAGGTAGATAGATTTCTTTACAGAAGGGTGTGGCAGATGAGAGATGGCCCCAGATTCTTTGACATTGCTGCGCTCTATGTCCTCTTCCCCTGTCTTTGCCTTCGACAGAACACAGTAGAAGGGATGCTGGGCCATTGCTGGGCTCATGCAGGCCTGATGCAACTCGTAACTTCCGTGTCAGGCGTCTTGGTGGGCTTGCTCTTGAGGGCTCCTCACAGCTGCCCTGTGAATGACCCACTGTGGGCATGAGACCATTGAGCTGCCAGGACTGGAGCCCCAGGCAACCCCTGACTGCACCTGCCTGGAACCCCAGTGAGGACAGCCTGGCTGAACCTGGCCAGGCTCAGCACTGGGAGGGATGATAAGCTGGTGTTTTAACAGCCTAAGTTTGGAGGTGGTTAATGAGCTGTCTCGCCCTTGATGGGTAATCTAATCAATAACTATTTATCAAATGAATGAATGACTGAGTTTTATAAATGTGCATCTTGAAGGGGGGGATATAGCCTGCCACGTTTCCTAAATGTGACATCTAATACTTGAAGACAAATCCTATGAAACAGGGCTTGATGGAATACTAGTTTGAGAAACATTCAATTAGAGGATTGAAACAGTACAGTTTGGGAAATACTGGTCTAGTTGTAGCCCTTTATGTCATAGATTAGACAAGTGAGGCCCTGATAGGGGAAGAGAGTTGCCGAGGGAAACAAAGCTAACTAGTAGGCTCCAACTGTGAACTAATTTCCTTTTCTAGCTGAAGTAAATGCATATGGACAAAATGACTTCACTCATGTAACCACATTTCAGATAACTATGAGGCTACTCACTAGATAGCCTGCTCTGTCTACTCTTTGATCAAGTCTTTGTGTCCAACTGTTTTCCACGAGACCTCTCTTAAACAGTAGACTCCCAAAGAAGATATAAAAGTATCTTTACTAGCCTGATGCCTAGATGAAGCTCAGTTTTAAAGACAGCAGAATCTATAGCCATACCTTGGGCCTTTGGTTTTAAAATATTTGCCTGATGGAAATCCTTGCTTAAAACTTAAATGTCTGGAAGACTGAATTTTCAACTGAACTGGATATAGGTGAGGGATTCCGATTTTAAGATTCCTTCAGTTTTATGTTACAAATTCCATTTCTCTTCCTCCAAGTGGGAGGTAAATAATGTAATCTGAAGTTTGACTCAGTTCGTAAAACAATATAGTGAAGAATGTTAATACAGGTCAAAATCTGGGGTCCTTAACTTTTCAAATACCATTACAGCCTCTGCCATAGCTTCCTGATCAAGTCTCCAAATCCAAGAACGACTTCAGTAGTTGGAAAAAAGTTTTATCTAATTATCTTCTTTTCCTACTTTGAATTGACTAACCATGTATCTTTTTCTGGTTTTATCAAAGGGGCTGCCAGGACAAAAGCACATCCAATTTTAAGTAAGCTTTAGTTAGCAGACTTAAAACTGATCATGAATTTTAGTTTCAGTAACTTGCAATTTCTACACCCTTTGATAATTCACTTTAAAGAGCAAACTGTCTTTAATGACAAGGCTTAAAAGAGACGACCTTTCTGAACAAAATATGAAAGCTGAGAAGAGATAGTTCTTTTAAGGAAACTAAAATGACCTTGTGTTCTGAAGCTTTCCTTCCACCATTTTTGATGTTTTACCTTTCCTTTTTACTCTTAGAAAGAAAGCTGAAATACCACTGCCTTCTGTGGATGGTGATGCACTTCAATAAGAGCTGTTAATTGTTAATTCAAGCTCAGTTTTTTTCTTTCTGCACTTTCTCTGTAGTGTCCTTAATGAGGAAATCACTGGTCATCTATAACATTACAGGGGAACGTGTGAATCCAAGCGAATTTCCTTGAGTCACAGTCAATTCCTTTGTACAAACTATGAAGCAAGTCCATCCATTCTGTGCCCCCTTTCTCTGTGTCCTCCTTTTCCCTGCACTGTGCCCCTGGACTGCTGCCCTCTGAGGAGCTGATTGTTGAGTGGGGAGGTTGCAAAATCAGAGGTCAGACCCTTGAAATGGCTGGCTGTGTGGTGACACAGAAATGATGGACTCCGACAGGACCAGGACATAGGCAGAAGACGGCAGCTGACTTTCATGTCACCCCTTCTCCTGCCCAACCCCAGGACACAACAGCCACACCAAAAACACTGCCATCCCACAGCTCCCCTGCTCAGCTTGCATCTAGTGCTTTATCAGCCACCACCTGTTGACAACTGCATGCTGAAATGTAAAAGCACTGGTGGAGGGCTCAGGGGCCGGCAGCCAATAATAATAACTTGAAATGTAGCTAAAATAGGTACTTGTGATGGACAATTGACCTTCTACCAGATAAAAGGATGAACTCTTAGATGATTTTATAATAAGGCACAATGTTTATCATTTATTTCCTGAGCAATTGCTTCTTCTCCCAGTAGCCATTTATACACTCGGTGCTCAGTTCTGTAAGGAATTTTAAACATGTCAAACGCAATTTTTCTTTTTCTTTCTTTATCAGAGAATTTTCACAAAAACGTTAGTATTTTTGAATAGGAATAGCCACTATTCCTATCACATACAATCAAACTGACCTAAAGTTTCAGTCCATTTACTCCCAGACATTTATGACATGCTTCAGATGAGAAACAGGATCTGGGTAATGTCAAAGGTACACCAGTGTTAGTAATTTCATAACCCTTGAAACAAGGAAAAGAGAATCGCAGGCAATTTCCCAAACACCTACTGATATTTACTCAGGGAAAACAAATACTCTTGAGTGGGAGTTCCAATTCCAGCATCCACTACAATTCACAAAGTATTTCCACTTCAAGGAGTTAATAACTTCACTCATGGAATCTGTTGAGCTTCAATCTGTTTTTCACAGCCTGTAGAAAAGTACTTAACACGAATCCTGTAGCCTTAATCTTTCCCTTCTGAGTACTGAATCATAGTCTGAGTACCAACTGTCCTCATTTGTCAGGTGGTTTTAATAGCACCTGCTGCAATTCTTGTTTTTCCTGGATATTCTTTCAGCCAGTGTTCTGATTTATCATCTATGCAAGAAAGGCCTGATCTTTCAAAGGATGGAGACTTATATTCCTGGAGGAGGGGTCAGGGTGAACATTAGGCAGAGAGGTGTGGGGGCCAGAGATGATTTTGTGCAAGAACAGACCTCCTGCTGATGGCTGGCCACAGGCAGTGTTCATGCTGATTGTGGCCCTGCCATTAGAAGTGGCTGTAAAACCTGTTACTTCCTTATCATCTCCACGTCTCAGTTACAGTACCAAAAAAGGGTAATTAATCCTTGTGCAACAAACAACAGAGATGGGCATGGGAAAGAGTAAAGAATTTTGAAAAAGGGTAAATAAACGTTCTGCCCTGTCCTTTTACAGTAAACTAGATGGTTACAGCCCCGCCCACAGCCCAGATTTTTAACAGTGTCTCAGAGGGCCCACGGCACGCGCCACAATGCAGTCAAAGACTATGGGAATCCATCCACTGCAACTCAAAATCTCCTCGGCAGACACGGCTGACCAATCAGCGCAGAGCTGCTCAAACACTGTGCATGGAAGCAACGCCATATTCTCTCAACGAGGAAACGGAACAACCAAAGCTCATTCTACCTTCACTTGCCAGCATGCTGAGTGTCCTAAAGGGCTCCTACAATTTTAGGCTTTCTTAATGGGTGTCAATTGATACAATTAAAACAACCATAAAAAGAGAGATCAAGAGAATAACAATAAAACCAGAGCTGCCTACTTAAAATTCTTATGCTATCCTGCCTCGGGAGTCCGAGGATCGGACTGGAGACCAACACGACCATGACAAGTATTTGGACTGATATCAGATGACCCAGTGATTTTTATTCTAAATAAGTGCATGGCTTATGGATTTGGTCTTTGACAGGACATCAGGTATTTTTCCCTGTAGCTCAATTTGAGATTTGTCAGTATTTTCTAGGGAAAAAATACCATGTATATGTTATCCTTATTTTAACAAATGAGGTGAAATAAAAGTGGAAATAAAACTAAGTACAAAATAATATTTTAATAGTATATGAACATGAACATGAGAACAATCTGAACATGTTAAAAATTTTGATATGATACTACAAATATGGTTTTGATCATGGGCAACTGGTAGAATTCTATGCAAAAGCATTAACAGGGCATATCATAAGAAATCACTTATTTTTCCAATATAAGCAATTCTCATACATATGCAAATGCACACAAATATGGAAATCAGAAATAAAGGAATGTTAAAAAATAACTTAGGCAGACACAAATAAAACCACCCATTAGCATATGAATGATGCATGTTTTTATGATCTTAATTACACTTAAGTATTAAAAAATGCCATTGATCTCACAGTTTACTTTGTAACAGCCAAATCTTCAAACCTGCTGGAAGAAGTCCACAGTGTAGCCCAGACACACATTACTCAGTTAAGTCTTCACACAGTTACCTGAAAATCAAAAATTTCAGTTATGTCTTTCTTTAGGTTCAATGGGAATATCAATTGTAAAATACGATCACATTCAGGAGGAGTTGGATAGAGGTTAAAAAGGATACTTGAGATAAAAATTTCATCATTTATACCTGTAAGGAATCAAATTCCATCTATACCAAGCAACAGAATCTTATGAAAAGTGAATGACACACAGGTCTTCGCTTTTATTTCAAAGCCAAATAAGAGGTTCTGTCTTAGGCTGCACTAAAAGGAAGGGTGTTTCACTGAACTAGAGCAGGAAACATCACCCCTGTTAGTGATGTCTCTGGGAACCTTTGACTAAACTTCTCAGGCATCCCTGAGAAGTACACACTGCGTGTGCCGAAGTTAAGACGCGGCCATATCACAGAACCATTTATCTCCTTTGGCTGGAGAACATCTGCAACAGTGCCAGACCTCCAGGGGGCATAGGACTTTGAAGACGGGGGCTACCATATTAAGAACCGCATCATCTCACCATCCTAAAGGAAAGGCAGTGTCTCCTTAACCCTGCATCTGGGTTTTAAGACAATGCCTTGTCACGTACAACCTAAAAAGAGGGATAATTTCTTACTGTGACTCTGCAGATGAGAGGCCTGGACTTGTCAGGAACTTGTAGATTCTCTCACTTCGTTCTGATCATACTGACTATACACTGTGATTATTAGAGGTGGGTGACTTCTTAAAGGTAGGCTATTTACTAAACATAGTCTTTTTTTTCAAAATTGATAAATATGTTTATTTTAATAAAGACTTTACTGTCAAACCAGGAGCTTCACAGGTGCAAACAACACAATGTAATCGGAAGGCAGTCTGATCAAGGGCTGTACCTTCGGTTTTGGTATGTAGTCAGTTCTTCTTGAAGGATGGACGCTCTCTTTTGCAGAAAGTTAACCTAGAAAATACAGCTTGTATGAGAAGGGGTGAATCTAGCTTACAGAGCAGTATTGTGCAGAAAATATGGTAGGATTTGATTTAGATTCAGACAATTCCCTAGATAAAACTCAGACTATTTGTTGAATGTGAACGTTTTTTTTTTTTTTTACATTTAATATCATTGCATCCCTACCGAAAATCTGTCAGAGCCACAGAATCAAGTTCAAACTCCTTATTGCAAAGCCATTTTGACTTGGCCCCAGCCTATCTTTGCTGCTTCATCTCTCCTCACGCCCTTCCCACCACCACCACCTTGCGTACCATGTCTTTTATGCAAGCCATTTTCTCTCTGGAATGCCTGGCTAATCTTCCACTATTCAGTTCAAATGTCACCTCTCCTACTGAACCTCGACTCCTCCCCAGCTACTCATTGCCTCCTACCTTATGCAAAGTAGTGGCTCCGCCTCTATTATTATTAGCACTTCTTGTGCTAATAAACCTGAGAGCTCTTCTGGGGCAGGGATGGCATTTAGTCATCTTTGTATCCCCTGCTGCTTTTACAGAGCTGGGCATGTAGCTGGTATTAACTAGCTGTTTAATGAATGAATGAGTGAGCAGAAAGAAAATTACTGCTTTCTGGGAACCTCAATCCATCCTGGGGATTCCCTGAGGTTGGAGAGACAGTATTTTGTTAGTGGAAAGAACCTAAGCTTTGTCTGGAGTTAGGCCAACTTGGGTTCAATTCCTGGCTTAGCCTCTATGGCTCTAGGAAAGTTACTTAAGCTCCTGAGGCCTCATCTGTGAAATGGGATTACTGACAGCTACTTCCCAAGGTTATAAGGATGATGGGAAATGACTGGTAGAAGCTGCCCAGTGGAGAGTTCATGGCAAGCATCACCCTATGCCCTTGCTCTTGAGGGCTGGGATATCATTGCATCCCTACCGAAAATCTGTCAGAGCCACAGAATCAAGTTCAAACTCCTTATTGCAAAGCCATTTTGACTTGGCCCCAGCCTATCTTTGCTGCTTCATCTCTCCTCACGCCCTTCCCACCACCACCACCTTGCGTACCATGTCTTTTATGCAAGCCATTTTCTCTCTGGAATGCCTGGCTAATCTTCCACTATTCAGTTCAAATGTCACCTCTCCTACTGAACCTCGACTCCTCCCCAGCTACTCATTGCCTCCTACCTTATGCAAAGTAGTGGCTCCGCCTCTATTATTATTAGCACTTCTTGTGCTAATAAACCTGAGAGCTCTTCTGGGGCAGGGATGGCATTTAGTCATCTTTGTATCCCCTGCTGCTTTTACAGAGCTGGGCATGTAGCTGGTATTAACTAGCTGTTTAATGAATGAATGAGTGAGCAGAAAGAAAATTACTGCTTTCTGGGAACCTCAATCCATCCTGGGGATTCCCTGAGGTTGGAGAGACAGTATTTTGTTAGTGGAAAGAACCTAAGCTTTGTCTGGAGTTAGGCCAACTTGGGTTCAATTCCTGGCTTAGCCTCTATGGCTCTAGGAAAGTTACTTAAGCTCCTGAGGCCTCATCTGTGAAATGGGATTACTGACAGCTACTTCCCAAGGTTATAAGGATGATGGGAAATGACTGGTAGAAGCTGCCCAGTGGAGAGTTCATGGCAAGCATCACCCTATGCCCTTGCTCTTGAGGGCTGGGAATGGAGGAAACTGGAGGGCTTGGCACAGTCTCTTAAATCAGACTTTTACAACACGGCTTGGTTATTTTGAAGCATGAGTTTCTATATGATTAAAGATACCTATTATCAAGTATAAATTCAGAAGCACTCTAAACGACCAAACTGGAACAGCTGGGGATAACCTACACTACAGCAGATGTAATCAAGAGGTAGTGGCATCTGATCATTTTAGAATTGTTCACTTTTGCCTCTTTGGTCTGAACTGAAACCATGGCAACAGTCGATTCGAAATACAGTTTTGAAAGAGTACAGCTGGCAGAACAGAAAACGTGCTTGCAAGAGAGAGAAGCACAGTCTGTCTAAATGGGTACACATCCAAGTGGCCCCCTCAGTTTTGCTTACTCTCATATCATCCTGGTCTTAATTTTATCCGATTGCGCAGATAACCCACGGGACAATTGATAATTTCGACAGATGCAAGGATTACGCTGATTCATCTTCCCTTCCCCCACCATGTTTTGCAATCGGAATTCCAACAATTTTCAAAAAACACAAGCACCTGTGCTTTCAAACTAAACTTGCTCACCCTATGCCTGTGACTCCTCCATGCAGCTGCCAATGCTGAGGCCCTGACGCAGCTGGCAGCCCTCTCTTTCTGGGTCAACATCCAGTTTTAGGAGGCTGGAGTGGCTTTTATTACAGTGAAATGATATGAACGATAACAGAAGCCCTGCAGGTGGATATCAGATTTCTTTCTTTCTTTCTTTTCTAAAAAAAAAAAACCTCCTCCCAAGGTGCCAGGTCCTACATAGCTGACCCTGTGGAGGCCCTCCTATGGAGTTAATGGGTAAACCATACTTTGAGAAGAGGTTTCATGTAAACAAAGATTACTTAACCCTTTGTATTTAACCCCATCCTGCAGCACTTACTTTTACATAAGAGAAGGAATAGCTAACAGTAGCATACAGACTGACATATTTCAGGTTAAGAGGCTTTTCAATGAGGGGACTAGAAAAGGAACAGCTAAAATTTGCTTCACACTTCATCTTACCCATTATAAATAGCTAATGTAACATCATCCAACTATATCATTTGTTTTATTTGTAAATAAAAGCACCTATTATGTGACAAGCACAGAGAGCAAACACATCTTTCCCTCAGGGAGCTTTTCCAGAAAAAAGTATGTTTCACAACAGACAAGTGATTTGCATATATTTTCTCCTATTCCATGGTTGCTCTTTTCAATCGCTGAATGCTGTCTTTTGAAGTAAAGTTTTGAATTTTGATGAAGCCCAATTCATCTGTTTTCTTCTACTGCTTGTGCTTTTGGTGTTATAGCTAAAAAATCTCTTACTTAAGGCACCAAGATATTCTCCTTCATTTAAGAACACTTCTTAGAGTTTTCTTCTAAGGGTTTTATGGTTTTAGATCTTACCTTCAGGTGCATGATCCATTTTGAGTTAACTTGTGTATAATGTGTGAGGAAGGAACTCCAACTTCATTCTTCTGCGTGTGGGTTATCCAGTTATTCTAGCAACATTCTATCATTCCCTCATTTAATTATTTTGGAATACTTGTTGAAAAATCGATTGACCAAAAATGTGAGTTTTTCCCCCGGGGTTTTCAATTCTTTTCCATTGATTTACATGTCTATTATTTGCTAATATCTCACTGTCTTGATTATTATGGCTTCGTAGTAAGTTCTGAAATTGGGATGTGTGTGTCCTCCAAATTTATTCTAATTTTTCAAGATGGTGGTGGCTATTCTGGGTTCTGCTATTGTTTTCAGCCAATCTCAGCCATACAGAGATTCTTAGAAATATGGAGGTAAAATTATTTTTGTAGGAAAAAAGATACGTTTTAAATTTCTAAGTATGAGAAATGGGAATATGTGAACTTTCTCATGCTGGAGTTAAACAACTCATTAGACTGGCTAATAGATAAAAGCTGTTCATAGAGGTACATAAAGAAAACTTCTGTTGGAAGTTTTAAAATAATTCTAAGTATCTAAATTTAAGTCCATTTCATCTCTCTTGTACACCATATACCAAGAACTACACATTTCAGCAAAAAATATTTAACTTAATTGTTTGAATACTTTGTCATTATTCTCCTTTGAATTTACAATGCATCTTATTCTAACAACCATATGAAATACACCAGAATAAAAAATGCTTCTAATTTGACCATGCTTTTGATTTCTTTTCACTTTCACACAGTGAGGAATGAGCACTGTGCTAGGTGATGGCATTTTGGGACTGGTACCAAGAATAAAAGGGTGAGGCTATATTGGAATGTGAATGGTAAAGAATAAAGCCAGCCATAACCAAACGATTCAATTTCAAGGGTACTTTTAAGAAAATCTCACTGAGACAATGACTTAAACTAGTAAGAAAAAAATTCTACAAAACCTCCAAAGAACAAACAAACCTCAATTAATCCTGGGTAGTAGATTTTGCTATGACATCATGTTGATTTCTGGCATCCACTCAGAATCAAATTGACCTGCAAGTCTCTTTTCCAGACATACACATCCCCTAAACCCTTGGAAAATGCCTTGATTCTAGTAATTACCTGTGACTTTAGAGAGGAAATGGTGTCTTCAAGTTCTTGTCTGAGAGATGCTGGCATCAACCCTTTGAATTTTGTTTCATATTCTTGTCGTATGTAAGTTATCTAAGTGAAGAAAAAGAAAGCTTATTTTATTTGCCACAGAAATGATTGTTTTGAATTTAAGAAATCCGGGAATAATATTTATTTATCACAAAGGTAAGGTTATTACACATGGTTGGAAACCAGACAACAAAGACAAAATAAGGGGAAACACAGCTACCAACTGAAAATGGTTCTCAGACTGTCTGTGTCTGAGAGAGGCAGTTTCTGTAACACCTTATTTCTTTAAAATCCTTGTTAGCACAATTTTCAGCATTGGACAAGTAAAATACCTGTTCTATCCTCTCCACTCGTGATGTACACTCTATACTAATTCTGCATCCTATTCTTGGTCAGGATGTGGATTATGATCACAGAAAACTGTGATTTGAGGGTAATTCATGGTATGTTGTTGGTTGGATTAAGACACTCCCTTGAAATGGCTACGTACCTGGGTGCTCAGTATAATCCATATGATTACGAAGACATGAATGAAGAAGAATCTACACTTCTGGGTCTCTTAAGTCTCCTCTAAAGTAGTCTAAAGTGCCCTTGTCATCGTGAGCTTCTCTGGTTCATGGGTTTCCCTCTCCCTCCAGAATACAACCAGTCTTGTGCTGAACTAACTGATGGTCATTGGGCTGGTAAAGGAAAGGTTAGTGGCTCACCCTATTCATCTCTCTAAAAGCTAAAGATAGAAACAAATGAGGAAAATGAAAGAAAAGTCTTTAGCAGAATATGCCTGAATCGGATGCAGAGGTTCATGTGTGTGGGCATGAATGTGAGCGTGCATGTTTTGGTGTCTTTCTCTAGCCATGCTTCCTTTTTTCTCTTCCTCTTAATCTGAGATATGATAGAATTAAAAAAATTTATTGCATGTGCCATGTGTGACTTACTGAATATTAAAACTGAATTGCAGTGTACTCAATAATTGATTCATTGGATGCATCTAGAAATAATGTAATATACTATGAAAAAATTTGCAGTGGGATTCAGTTAGATGAGTCTATGGATTTACAGAGGATAATTTAAAATTACCAGCATTTAATTCCCAACTTTTTGTATGCTAAATCAAATTTCAGAAGAAATGTGTTCTAATAGCTCATTTAATTATCTACTAAAATCTCATGTGAAATGTTATAGAATATAATTCTTTGGTTTTTTGCAAAGTGGTATTTTTTTTGAGATATGTTATAATCTTGTGATTTATACCTAAAGGAAAATCAGAAACAATGAAAAATGATCTTTCCCACTGATGAACTATTTCATTTTTTTCCATCTTCTCTTCTTCGACTTAAGTCCAGTAGTTAATTCTTTCAGATGACTCAAATGAAAGGCAAACATGAAGCAAAACACATGTTTTATAAATCAGACCTTAAGGGCAATATTTATTGAGGGTTCATAGGCTACTATATTGACTATATTTTCTACCATTCAACAATGGCTCTGAAATTCTGAGCTACTAACTCTTTTAAGAAAGACTCACGTGTGCTCTATTTCAGGTATCCTTGTTTTAGAGTGTCTGCCCACTGGCTGCACATTTGAAAGACCACGCTGCTGGGTATAAAAATGCTTCACTCCCACTTTCTTTCTCTCAGAAGTTTGGAGGCATTTTTCAGTGTCTTCTGGCATTACATACAGCTATGGTGAAGTCTGAAGCCAGGCTAGTATTTTCCCCCAGGTTGAATGTGACTTTCTCTGCTTGGATGCCCATAAGATTTTCTTCTACTTGATTCAGTAACTTCACTGGGGTATGTAATGGTATTAATGATTTTATATCAGTTTTCCTGAGACACTGTATGGGTCTTTCTATCTTTCAATTCTTCGAGGACAAATTTCTTCTGTTAGAATGATTTGCATTCTATTATTGTTATATATGATTTTTTCCCCCTAATTGTTCTCTTCCATGGGAACATAGATTTTGCATGTATTGGCTCTTCTTTGACAATTACAATCTTCCACAATTACAATTTTCTCTGTTATTTTGCTTTCTCATTTTTTATATCTATTTTATACATTGATTTCATTTTGTGTGATTTCCTCTAGTCTGATCACCGTTATTTGTTGGGTGTTTTCAGTTATGATTTTTCTGTTCTTGTTTTTTCAAGTATGGTTTCAATCTTTCTGTAATTTTTTGATTCTGTCTACCATTTTTCCTAAGTTCTGAGAGACCACTTTTCATCTCTATTGACTTATATCATCTTTAAACATATATCTCTTCTCTTTTATTCTTCTCCATCTCCACCCACCTTTTTTCTTGACAGAAGATATATCAATGTATTTTGTAAATGCTTTGAAATTGTAATGAACTGTGGTATAAAGAACTGTAATTTGTCTGAATCTTCCCTCTGCTTCTTAAGCAGTTTCCCATTTGATCTTTATTTCTTTGCTTTTTGTTTACATTCCTTCTTTCTTTCTCTCTTATTCTAGCAAGGTCTTATGCTAGTTGTTCTTTTTTTTCTTAAAAAGAAACGAACCTCATTTTTGCAGAGGCCCAACTATTTGCTGAATGTCGAGGTAGGGGGAGTGGGCTGGGGAGAAGGCCACAGCTAAGATTTGGTTTTGGTGTCCTCAATATCCTTTGACCAAATCTATTATTTTATTTCCTCTTGGGGCCCATTTCTTCTCAGTTTTCAAGTACTTTGAGGTCAAGGGAAAGTCCTTAAGCCCTTTGGTTCATGCTCATAGTTCCCCTTGACTCTTTTGCCCCCCCTTCCCTTTTCACAACTGATGGTACCCCGATATTGGCAGCTAGGGTACAGACAACAGAAAATCGCGTGTGAGCAAGCCTGCTCTTTGATCACCAGTATTCCTTCTATCACTTTTTAGATTCCGTATGCTATATGTTCCAACTTTTATTGAGGATTCAGACATTTCTACTTCCTGTCTACTTGTTTTTATGATTTTGGTGATCTGAGTGAACTTAAAATGAGCCCTTGGAAAATCTGAAATTACCTTACCTATGAGTGAGACTATCCATCAGAAAAATGTTACTACCTTGAATCCTTAAACCCAAATCCTGAATTTAGAAGTCTTTATATCAAGAAGAATCTTGTTACTTTAATAAAGTCATGCAAAATTTTAACCAATCTGTTTTATCCTATTTACAAGGTTAATAATGGCACTACTAGCAAACATTTATTGAGTACTTTCTATGTACCAGATAAAATTCTAAGTGCTTTAATAAGTGCTTGATCCTTCTCACAACGCAATGAGGTGAGCACAGAGAGGTAAGCCGGGACTAGGACTCAAGGAGTCTGACTTCCAAGCACATACTCTTAGCCACTAGGCTCTGCAGCTTCTCAGTCTTTCCAAATGCTGAAATATTTCTTCCACCCCAAAAGGAAAAGGACCTCACAAACACATCCAGTTGGAGCAGTTTCACCCACTGTACACTTGTGCGCTCCCTAGCAGGAGGGCAGCTGGGGGAAGGGAGATGGCAGGTACCACTACTGTCTTTCCAGACATCCATCTAGCCTTTGCTCTATTTTTTTAAATGACAGTGATAACAACGACAATAACAATTGGTCCCAATATGGTATGGTTCCCCCTACTTTCCCATTGGCTTAACATTTTACTTCCTTAAAGATTCATAGTTTAAAAAATCTATACAAATGCAATGCACATATTGACCTAAAATGAAAGTTTCACATACCCCCACATGAGCATACATTTTAAAGTCCAACCAGTGAAGGCTATGTCTAAGTTTGTCACATGGCAAAATGAAGGAGAGGAAGTAAAGAATTCCTTCATGTTTTCTCACTCCTACTACTATTTTTCTTTCCCCACCTCTGATTCAGAATGTATCTGCGGGGCCTTGATGAAGGAGTGATACCAGTTACCTTAGACGAGCCACAAACTATTAACTGCTAAATACGTCTCTCTCCCTTCTTCTTCCCGCCTTCCTCCGTTTCCCTGGTGATACTGATCTGGCCTGACAACAGATGAAGACCCAAGAGGAAGGTGAGTTGATCTAAGCAAACGGTTTGATGGACATAAGATTGCTTTCGCTAAGAGAGTTCAAATTTTACATATGAATCTTATTATCAGGTTTGAATATTAATTTTAATTAGTATATAATCCCAGTGAGTGATATTTGTTAAATGTAGGAGAATTCAAAGACTGTTCTTGCTTAAGTACTTCTGGAAAGGAATTTCCAGGACTGTTGTGGCTCGTTTCCATCCCATCTCACCAAATGTATTGTATATAAGTAATTATCTGCTCTTCCACATTCTTCAACTGCATTACACTAAATAGCCATAAGGCTCTCTCTCTCTACAATGGTTACTTTTCTCTCCACTTTCCTTCATCTTCTTTCCTTTAGCAGAGGAAGATTAGGAAACTCAGGACATCGTGACAAACAATGACATTCCTGTAACATGATAAACCCCTATAAACTGAGGAAATGGAGTATGTGGAACAGGGAACCCATGTGACTAAAGATGGCTGTACTCTGCATCATCGCAACAGATGGCCCACCTTTCCCTCAAAGGCATAGCATTGATATGATTTCCTTTAATTTTTAAAGTGGACTATGAAGACCAAGAATATCCATCGCCAGAATTTAACACTGCAATTAAGTAAAACGTATCCTGGGTAGTCAGACAAACACTCATTTGCATAAATAGACGTCTACAAAATGTACAGCACATGTAGCTGCCTTGAGCCAAGTGGGTCTCTGGAGATACACAATTCCAAGTGACACTGAAAAAAGTGCACCTTGAAAATCCATTATTTCATTAAAAATGTGAGAGAGCTAAAAAATATTTAGTGTGAAAAACACTGTATCAGTCATGGCAATATGTCAACTTCCTGTTACATATTAAAACAATAAATGAAGTAGAAGTGTGCAACTTTGTAGAAACAATTTAGGGATGGCGCCTCAAACCAAGCTATTTTATTACAAGTGTCAGTGTGCCGAACACTGAATTCACTTTTGAAGAGATGAGAAACAGAGAGGCCACCTACCGAGTCACCACTGGTACATGGTGTGGTTGCTTTATTTATTATTGTATTTTGAGGAA